CTGCAATGAGATCTGTAATACCATCAAACATCCACATCTGCCTATCCCAGGTCCTTGGTAAGGACTCGATAGGTAGACAAAAATGCCAAATCCAGTCTGAACATCTGGCTGACTGCGATGATTCATAATAATAATAATGTTGGAAGGGACCTTGGAGGTCATCTAGTCCAACCCCCTGCTCAGGCAGGAAACCCTATATCATTTCAGACAAGTGGTTGTCCAGTCTCTTCTTAAAAACGTCCAGTGTTGGAGCATTCACAACTTCTGGAGGCAGGTTGTTCCACTGGTTAATCATTTTCATTGTCAGGAAATCACATGATCCTGGGACGCTACGACCATCATAAATACGAACCAGTTGCCAAGCATCTAAATTTTGATCACATGATCCTGGAGATGCTGCAAAGGTCGTAACTGTGAAAACCGGTCATAGGTCACTTTTTCCCGTGCCCTTGTAACTTTGAATGGTCACTAAATGAACTGTTTTAAGTCGAGGACCACTTGGACTCACCTGCCTGATTATTATTATTTTTTCCCACCCTGAAAGTCAAGTCTGTGGCAGGTTGAGCATCGTTTTTGCTGATGACCAAAAGACTTCCATAGACGTTTTCCTGGCAGTATTTTAAATCTGGTTTGGTACTGCTGCTTTTGCGGACTTTTCGGGACTTTCTGATCTGGTCTAAAGTCTGGGGGTTTTCTGGTCATCTGAATCCTGTCCAGAGAGAAATCGTGAAGACACAGGTAAATTCGCCTTTCTTCGTGCAGATAAACCCTCAAGTGGCCTCAAGTGCTCTCAGGAAGAGTGCGAATGACCAGATGACTGCGAAGAATATAAATCCTTCCATTCCCCACCATTTGGTCAGAACCGAGGAAGCTTCTTGGCTGAGAAGTGAAACTTTTTCAAAGAAAAAAAAGACACACCCAAGGAAGTCCTGTTGCCTTTCAAAAAACACCTTTGGGATGAGCAGTCCATGCAAATCACTGATCTCTGATTCAAATGTGGGGCGACAGATAATTCTCTGAATGAATAATGGTTAATTAATGGTTAATGATGGTTAATTAATTCTGTAATTGCTTAGTACCTAGAATCAACCCTGTTAACTCTCAAGTCTCTTTTTTCCACTATGTATTCTAAATGGACTGTGATTAATTTATATATATATAAAGCCGGTCTATCAGAACACCCGGTCTACAAAGCAATCTACTTATTGCTTTTAGCACCAATCTGATAGAAGTGAGGAGAGCCTGTGGCCTAGAGATTAATATAGCTGCCTATATAGCAAGCAGCTCAGGTTCAAATATCAGAAGGGTATGAGAGCTAAATAGCTCCCTTTAATTCTTTGTCAGCAAAATCTAAATTTAACACAAAATATGTGTGTGTATGTGTATTCAGATTTCTTTTTTGCTGGCAAAAAAAAGAAATCTGAATTTGTAATGTATCGCAGTAGCGACTTGAGCCTGCTTAACGCCCCTAGTCGGGGGGCTGCAAGGCAAAAGAGATTATAAAGAAGTAGAACTGCAGTATAGCAATCAAAATGCCAAGGTGCAATCAAGCTGGAGCAATGTGTGGTATGAATACCCCCACTTGCAGTTAAAAGGAAGAAATAGCTAAGACCACACATTGCTCCTCGAAGCACGAAGCTGAAAACACCAGCCTGAAGATGATGAATGGGACTTCGTCGAAACGTCGCCAAGACACTTCCAATTTTACGCGGGAGAAAACCCGAATAACCAGAGACCTACATACAAACACCCGCGAAAACCTCAGAAAACATATATATATATATGGGATTCGAACCTGCCTGGTATGTAAACTGCCCAGGTTCGAATCCCATAAAGGGTGTGGCTAACTGATGAGAGCAGAATGAGCTTGAAATGGCCATATTAATCTCCCAACTTAATTCTTTAACTCTTTGTCAAGAAAAAAAGAAATCTGGATATGAAATTTGTGTGTGTGTGTGTGTGTGTGTGTGTGTGTGTGAATATATAGGGTGGCTGAGGAATTCTGGGAGCTGAAGTCCACAAGTCTTAAATTGCCAAGTTTGAAGAGCCCTGCTCCAGAGTAGCGTTTCTCAACCTTGCCAACTTTAAGATATGTGGATTTGCTGGCTAGGAAATTCCGGGAGTCGAAGTCCACATATCTCAAAATTGTAAGGTTGAGAAAGACTGCTCTAGAGGCAACATGTGTCTTTAAGATCAAGAGCCCTTGATAGATGAGTTCTGAATGAATGAATCCCGCAATGGGATTCAGGCAATGATAATTAGACTATCAAAAGAGTACGCTCAAGAACAAAGGTCCAAGTACATTTCACAACAGGCCTCTCCAACACAAAGTCCCAAAGAAGGTATAAAAACCCACCCACTCTCCATTGCATTTTGTCAGCGGTCACAGAACTGCATGCTGTGGCTGGTTCTACTCATCAGTCAACAAGAATCTTCTTTCCTAAGCAGCCTCCATTTTATTTCCAGTGTCTTACTCCCAGCTTAGAACTGGACCTGATTTTTCTTTCACCGTGACCTGGATGGTTGAGTATCTCCATAGAGACTTGACTTTTTCTCTTTTGCCAGGTGACGGATGCCATAATGATGGGCCAGAACCAGGTTTTGACACAGACACACCCTTTTTAGACACCCCTCTTGGTTGTGCCCTCTATTTTTAGTTTCGTTTTCACAGCCACTTAAATATATTTTCACAACTAGAGTCAAACAACTGATGCCAAGCATAGCTTCCCTGGGAGTTTCCAGCGTGGAACACGGTTTCAGGTTCTTTGTATGACACAACACTCAGGAAGAGATGCGTTCTCCATGTGCTTCTCTTGCACAACGTTTTCAGCCATGAAGTGATGGCCTGGCCTATTAATCTGCTAGCAATCTACAGTATCAAGGAGTTTTTGCAAGTGACCCATGGATTAATTTCAAGCAGAACTGGTTTATCAGTAATACAGAGTAGTGTAGAGAAGAAAAAATAATATTATTAGGGGACTGGAAGCAAAACCATACGACGAACAGTTATGGGAAGTAGGTATATCTAGTCCAGCAGTTCTCAACCTATGGGTCGTGACCCCATTTCACGGGGGTCGCCAAGTAAGGCTGTCCGCCATTTTTTCCCCTTTTCCGGCGGGTGCCTTACCTCCCTTGGGCTGGGCCAGCTGGTGGTCGGCCTGCTCTGTCTCTGCCGCTTGCCAGCTACGCCTCGGCCAGCGCAGGGGGCGGCACCACGCATGCGTGGCGCTCCCGGGCAGGGAAAGTCCTTGACTTACGACCGGTTGGGTAGTCCTGGACTTACTACCGGTTTAGTCCTTGACGCACTACCGGTTTAGTCCTCGACTTACGACCGGTTTAGTCCTTGACTTACAACCGGTTGGGGTCGCGGCATTAAAAAGGTTGAGAACCACTGGTCTAGTCTTATGAAGAGAAGGACCAGGGGTGACATGATAACAATCTTCCCATACATGTGGGGGTCCCTCAGAGAAGAGGGGGAGGGTCAACCTATTCTCCAAAGCACCTGAGGGCAGGACAAGAAGTAACAGATGGAGGGATCCCACCTAGAATTCGGAGACATTTCCTGATAGAACAATTAATCGGCAGCGTGGCTTCTCTCCAGAAGTTGGGGATGCTTCATCACTGGAGGATTTAAGAAGAGACTGGACAGCCATTTGTCCAGAATGGTATAAGGTCTTCTGTTCAAGCAGAGGGTTGCAGGCACAGGCGGTGTTTGCAGATGACCCCAGGAACATGATGGCCAGCGTTGGAGGTAAGTTTTGAGTGTCTACGTCAGTGGTTCTCAACCTTTCTAATGCCGCAACCCCATAATACAGTTCCCCATGTTGTGGTGACCCCCAACCACTTATACATCACCGGGTGCCAGGGGTGTGGCCATAGAAAAGGGGGGAAAATGGCGGACAGCCTTGTTTGGCGACCCCCGTGAAATGGTCGTTCGACCCCAAATGGGGTCCCGACCCACAGGTTGAGAACCACTGGTCTACGTGTAGCCTTAAAATCAACAGTCAAATTCTTCATGTAAAGAAATGGCCAGTCACAACTCCTCAACAAGCAGGAACTTTTAGATAAGGCAACGATACTACCCGTGGTTTGCACATCGTAAATGCCTGAGTTGTACATTAGAACACCCTTGATGTTCTGGGTCACAGAGTTTCAGTGAAAAGGATTAAAAATCTACTGAGAATAATGGATGAAGAAGTCAAAATTAGTTGGATCTTACAGGAGTAAGTCTGGATTTCAGCTCTGGATGTTGATTTGGGTCAAACTGCAAATGGAGAAGGGTGGGATAAACTGAAAATATGATCAGCTGGCCACAAAGACAAGCTAATTACTAATTCAACTTCATTCCATTATAAACTGGTATTCTAGTCCAACTCCCAACAGGAAACCCCATATCAGAGGGTATCCAACCTTCCCGGGCTCGTGGCTGGGAGGGAAGGAGGGCATTTCCGAATTGGCGTGCGCGTGCACATACATGCAACAAGACCATGCGCACCGGTGCGGCTCTAGCAGCCCCGTTTGCGCATGTGCAAATGGGCCATACACACCTGCCCTGTGCTAGCGGCACGTGCAAATGAGGCTGCGCAAGCCACGGGGCACCAGCGGCCCCGTTTGTGCCCATGCGCATGCACAAATGGGGACACAGGAACTAGCATGAGTGGGGGGAGTGTGTGCATCGGCCAGCCATTTCCGCATTTTTATGGCTCGCTGACCAAGAGACTGTAGTCTGATAGTGGGTCGTGACACATAGGTTGGGGACCCCTGCCCTATACCATTTTCAGGAAATATTAAGCCATCATCTCTCATCTCCTGGTCAAGCATTTCCTTTGGAGTGAAGAGAAGGAAGATCTGTTTGTTTCTCCATCCAACTCCGTGTTATTTCTCTGGACAATTATGCACTTGTAGGCAGAGCAAGGATTTAAATGCCTGGGACTTCTTGCTAGGAGATTAGGTGTTCCTCACTGGATTTTGGGATCCTCCCTCACTGATCTGCATTGTTCTGCCCGGCAGTCCATCGTGAATGGCAATTTAGGCAACCCACACAACAACATCATCAACAAAAGGACAACACCTGCAAGGTATAAATGGAACCTGCATTTAGCTGAAGCTGAAGCTCTGGAGAACTTTGCAATCATGAAAGCTCTGCTCGTTGCCTTCTTGCTGGCTATCCTTTACACGGAGAAAGGTACGGCAATTTTTATAATCCCTTTACCAAATGAACAGGATGTTATTAATTAAATTTTAACAGGTTTTATTAAGTAAAAAAAATGATGGGGCGGGTTCTTAAAGGCTTTTGGTCTGAAGATGTCCAGGGTGATCTAAAAGGAAAACAATAAGGGAGATGCTCAGAGTTATACATTTCAGGTGGGTGGCCGTATAATCAAATAAATAAATCAAAAATAAATAAATAACCATAAATAAGATGGTGATGTCAAAGGTCCTTCTATGTTTTCACTACAGTTCCATTCTGGGTCAGCCAACAAACTGGATAGCTCTTCTCTGGCTCCATAAACTCTCTTCTCAGGCTGTTTATCCTTCTCTATTTCATATGGCCTTGTGAGATAGACTTCACCTGAGACTGGAAGCTCCAGCGAGACAGTGAATTCTATCACACAACGATCCATGTCTGTGAGAAAGTGTACATTCTGTTGTCAATCTTGGATACAGTGATGTAGGATTTAAGGTAATTAATTCATGTATTTATTTAATACACTTTTAGGCCACCCAGCTCCAAATGACTCGGGGCAGCTTGCGTTAAAAAGAAAAGAACGATTAAAATAAATATGACAAATCAGATATGTCTGTTTATTTATTTGCTGTTCAATAGCCGGAAGGTGAATAAGTTTCAATGTCAAAGAACAAAAATACAAAAAGAAAAAAAATGTCTGGATAGTATCAGCAAAATAATAGTAACAAGAACAGCTTATTCTATGATGATACTTACACCATCAGACAGCATCTGCCTATCCCAGATCCTTGGGATGGACTTGATAGGTGAATATCCAGTCTAAACATCTGGCTGGTTGTGCAGCCAACAACAACAACAACAGCACGGACTTAACAATTGCCGATAGGAATGACAAAAAAGTCTGAATAGTGGACGTGGCAGTGCTTGGAGACAGCAGAATAGAAGAGAAAGAATGGGAAAAGATAACAAAATACAAAGACCTACAAACAGAAATAGAACGACTGTGGCAAAGGCAAGCAAGGGTGGTACCAATAGTAATAGGCGCCTTGGATGCAATCCCAAAACAGCTGGAGCACTAGAATAGAATAGAATAGAATAGAATAGAATAGAATAGAATAGAATAGAATAGAATAGAATAGAGCTGGAAGGTACCTTGGAGGTCTTCTAGACTAGCCCCCTGTTCAAGCAGGAGAACTATATCGTCTCAGACAGGTGAATGTCTAGTCTCCTTAAAAATCTCAGTTTCCAACCATTGTTTCTCGTCCTTCCCTCTGGTGCTCTGGTGAACAACCTGGCCCCCTCTTCCTTGTGGTAGCCCCTCAGATACTAGAACACTGCTATCATGTCTACCCTATTTCTTCTTTTCTTTAGACTAGCCAAACCCAAGTCCTGCAGCCATTATTCATATCTTTTAGCCTCCAGGCCTTTGATCATCTTAGTTGCTCTTCTCTGATTTTTTTCCAAACACTCAACATCTTTTTTGTGATATGGTGATCAAAATTGGCTGCAGTATTCCAGGTGTGGTCATACTAGGGCTTTGTAAAGCAATACTAGTACATCGTGTGATCTTGATTCTATGCCTCTGTTTATACAACCCAGGACTGTATTAGCTTTTTTGGCTGCTGCTACACACGGCTGGCTCATGTTTAAGGGATCGTCCACTAGGACTCCAAGGTCCCTCTCACAGTTGCTGTTTTTGAGCCAGATCTCGCCCAGTCTGTATTTGTGCCTTTGATTTTTCCTGCCTAAATGTAAGACTTTGCTTTTCTCCACACTGAAACTCATTTTGTTGGATATCACCATCAGTCAATTGCAAAAGGCAGCTTCCATCCTGCGACAATATACGTAACACCATCAAACATCGACATCTGCCTATCCCAGATCCTTGGTAAGGACTCGATAGGTAGACAAAAATGCCAAACACAGTCTGAACGTCTGGCTGACTGTGCGATGATCAACAACAACAACAGCAACAGCAGCAACAACAACAATAATACACCCACGCACCCACTTCACAGTCTATTTCTATTGCTCCTCTCTGGGAGGAGGTTTTAAAGTATTTATTTATTTTATTTTATTTTTAAAATTTATAAGCCGCCCCACTCCCGAAGGACTCTGGGTGGCTAACAATAAAAAACACATAAAACATAACAAAACAACAATACAAAAACAATCATCCAGGCCTGCCGGAAAAGCCAGGTCTTAAGCAGCTTACGGAAGACCAACAGGGTGGGAGCGGTCCTAATCTCCGGGGGGAGCTGGTTCCAAGACGTGGGCGCCATCACAGAGAAGGCCCTCCTCTGCGGCCCCGCCAAATGGCACTGCTTGGCCGATGGGGCCCGAAGGAGGCCCAGCCTGTGGGATCTAACCGGACGAAGGGAACTATGAGGTAGTAGGCGGTCTCGCAAATAGCCTGCCCTGAGCCATATAGGGCTTTAAAGGTAATGACCAACACCTTGAATTGGACCCAGAGACCAATAGGCAACCAGTGCAGCTCACGGAGGATAGGTGTAACCGAGGAGCACCCACTATCACTCACGCGGCTGCATTCTGCATTTACAGCAGAACTACTAGATTCTGTAACCACTTTTTTCCCTATGCCATCCGTCTTGTAAATTTTTTTTTCCGCTATGTATATCTACATATCTGAACTAGACTGTGTTGTTTCTCTGGGTCATATATGTGTGTGTATATGGGTGTATGCAAAATGTGTTTTACGATGGTTTTGCTGAAAACCGGCACTTCTGATTTTTGATAAAACCCCACACATAGTGAACAACAGCTTTGCACTTACGACCCCCATGTTTGCTTAATGGCCATTTGCAAAAAACCATCGTAATATTATGTCGGTCACATGACTGACCCATTTTACCACCATTATGAAGGTCCAGGATGATTGTAAACTGAGGACTCCTTGCCTCTAGTGCCGCTTCGATGAGAAGGGCGGCATATACATTTGGTAAATAAATACAGATCGTCTTTGACTTACAACAGTTCGTTTAGTGACTCTTGGAAATTGCAATAGCATCGGAAAACAAGTGACTTATGATCATTTTTCACACTTATGACCGTCACAGCATTCCCTAGGGTCAGGTGATTTACATTCGGAAGCTTGGCAACTGACTCACATTTATGACGGTCGCAGTGTCCCCGGAGTCACGTGATCCCCTTTTGCGAAGTTCCGACAAGCAAAATCAATGGGGAAGCCAGATTTGCTTAACGACAGTGTTATTGATTTGAGCAGCGCAGTGATTCACAAATGAAAGTGAATCTACGTGTCCTGGGATAATGTTGCAGGATCCAATGTGGGTTGGTCATTGGGACCAGTATTTCTGCCTACCAGAGCTTTCAGAACCGCAGTGATTCACTTAAGAACCATGGTGAGGCAAGTTGTAAAATGGGGCAATGCTCACTTAACAATTTCTCACTGAACCACATAAATGTCGGGCTCCGTTGTGATCGTAAATTCAGGTGTCATGGTTCCGACAGATGAAACTCTTCGAGGCATTGTTTACCTTAAAGAATCTTTTATTCGAGTAGCATAATATCGGCACTGCATAATTGAAGCCAAAAACTGAATTTCCCTCCCCTGGGCACCTGGTATCAAAACACAATTCCCTCCTCCAATTAGCAGTCATAAATCACATTCCCCAATTAGCTTGAAGCGCAGGTTTCTCTCTAGCTGTCCAGTCCGCCAATTCTTTATCAGCTCTGGGCTCAATAACCTTGATTCTCACGCTAAGTTTAGTGTTGTTATGTCTAGCTGGACTCTCGTTCACAGCTCCCCCCCTCCAAACATCATCTAACTCTACAAGCGAAAGGGGAAAAGATGGCTACATTTCCATCTGTTGTCAATGCAGAACATCCCATGATAGCAGCATTGACATCAGGACTGTGGGTGTGTCCTATGTTTTTCCTCTTTAAAAGATAGATCAAGTTCACCCATCTTAAAGTGGGCAATGCTGGTCTATAGAAATGTTTGTGGAGATGATCAGTTATCCAGACCCTGGTTGTCTCAAATCTCCATCACCCCCAGCATCCTGCCAGAACCGATGAAGCTACTTGGAGGAGAAGCAAAACGTCTTCCTCAAAGAAAAAAAAAAATGGTCCAGTTGCCTTTTGAGGAAAAAGAAAAAAAAGAAAAGCACCTTTGAGACGTAGAAAGTTGTTTTAGGCAATTCCTGAGGCTCCGTCACGGCTTCCCTGAAAGGCAGAGGTTTTTTTAAAACAACAACAACAACAACTCCCAGTCAGCTAATTTTTATCATTAGAGCTCTGCCTCTTGGTGGGGGGTGGGGGTGGGGTCCAGGTAATTTCTCATTTGTTTTTTTAAATGTAGTCAGCTCTTCCCCACTTGATATTTTCTTTCTTTCTTTCTTTCTTTCTCTTTCTTTCTTTCTTTCTTTCTTTCTTTCTTTCTTTCTTTCTTTTTTCTATCTCTCTCTCTCTTTCTCTCTCTCCCTCTCTCTCTCTCTCTCTCTCTCTCTTTCTTTCTCTTTCCATGATACTATTTATTTATTTAATTTAATGGGGTGCTGCCCATTCCGGAATACTTTATGTATATATGTATATATATATGTAGGTCTTTGGTTGTTCGGGTTTTCTCCCGCGTAAAATTGGAAGTGTCTTGGTGACGTTTCGACGAAGTCCCATTCGTCATCTTCAGGCTGGTGTTTTCAGCTTCGTGCTTCGAGGAGCAATGTGTGGTCTTAGCTGAGACCACACATTGCTCCTTGAAGCACGAAGCTGAAAACACCAGCCTGAAGATGACGAATGGGACTTCGTCGAAACATCGCCAAGACACTTCCAATTTTACGTGGGAGAAAGCCCGAATAACCAAAGACCTACATACAAACACCCGCGAAAACCTCAGAAAACATATATATATTTATGTAGGCATTTATGTGTATGTATGTATGTATGTATGTAAGTATGTATGTATGTATATATGTATATATGTATGTATTTCAATGGGATGCTGCCCATTCCAGAATGGA